AGACGGGGACCAGGTGGAGTGGCAAGCAGTCGTAGCCCGTGGAGCGTGCGTGCCACGGGGGCAAAGGGGGTGCAGGTCGGGGGAAAGAGAGGACACACGGTCCCAAGCCAGGTGAAAAAGGCGGGGTGGGGGCCGGGGGCACAGGTGGTGGGAGCGTGGGAACGGTTGTGTCGTGCTGCCGGAGGGCGGGGGGGTCAGGTCGGCGGCTGGTCAGCGCCGCGGGCGCTTTCCAGTCCAGGTGTCGTGGTACCCGGAGCTGCGAGTCTGGTCCTGTTCGCGCCCGTCACCCTTGTCCGCTCCTCGCGCCTCGCTGCAGGGGGGTACCTGGCGTTGCCCGCGCCTTCTCTGCGGCTCGGGAAACGCTGCTGCAACTGGACCCAGTTGACGCCGAGGTTCAGCGCGTCGCTCATGGCCCTCACGTCGGAGCGCAGGAAACTGACGCAGGTTTGCTGGTCGCGTCGTCGCGGGTCGAGTGCGCCCTTGTTGTGCTGCTTGGCGAGCGCGTGCCAGGCGCCTGTGAACATCGCACCCGGGGTGGCTTGGAGCCGCTTTATCGTCTCGCCAGGGGTCTCCCCGGGGAGACTCCATTGGATGCAGCTGATCTTGGTTCTATACAACTGCTGTCCCGTGTCGGGGCCCAAGAGTTCGGGCCCTTGGCGCGCGGCGGGCCTTGCTGCCCGAGGCGGGGTAGTCGGCGGGGGGTCCTTGGAGCGGCGGCTGCTGCTGCTGCTGCTTCTGCTTTTGCTGCTGCTGCTGCGTCCGCCGCCTGTCGTGCGCCGCGTGCCGGGCCCGCCAGCGTTGTCGGCGTCGCCAGGGGCCGGGTTTCGACTCAGGGGCGGAAGGGAAACAGGGGGGCCGCCAGTTGCCAGGGCAAGGCCGGGCCTCCACCCATTGCCAAGCGAACGCGTTGGAGGACCGTTGCGGCCTGGCCGTCGCCTTTCTTCGGTGCTCGAGCCCGCGCCGCTGCCAGGGAGGAAAGGGCCGGGGTGCTGAGAGCCGGCCATGAGAGAGTGGCAGTGAGAGGTTGCCAGTTCGTGCCCCTGCTCCGATTCCTGCGCCGGCGCCGCTTCCGTGCCCTGTCCGCGGGCAGCAGCCACATCTTTATCGTGGGGTTCATCAGGATCCTGCTCCCCATGCTCTGCTCGCGCCTGCTACTCTGCGACAGCCCCGCCCGGCTGGGCCCGCCGCCAGAGTCGCCTATGGCTTCGCGCGGCGCGGCGGCTGCTCGGCCGGGAACGCCTGGCGAGGCCATGCGTGTCGGGGCGGGCCGTGCGGTTGGCTTCCAGGCAGGGGCCAGATCGCCTCCGGCGGCTGGGGCAGAGAGGGGCGCTGCCCTGCGGCGTGCGGGGGCAGGCCCCTCTCGATAGCATTCGCCAACGGACCTGTGCCTGTGCTCGCTCGTGAGCTCGCCCCTATCTGTAACCGCGAGGCGATAGCCAGATGTGGGGGTGCTGCGGGTAGCTCCGGGCGCAGGCGCGTTGTCGGGCACCGGTCCTTTCGGGGCGTCCGTCGCCACCCCCGACGAGGCCACGGCTTCGAGAGGGAGTGGCTGCGGCTCGCTATCCGCTCGGGCTGACGCGCTGCCAGGGGAGGGAGGGCGAATGGGCGCGACAGGGCTTCTGTCGACAAGCTGGCGGATGGCCTCGGTGTCGCGCCTCTGCAAGGCTGGTCCGTTGTTCCTACCGGGCCCAGCTCTAGAAGAGGTCTGATGGCTCGGGCACTAGGATGCGGCGGCGGACGGCCGTGTACCTGCTTGCGTGGCCAGGGCGAGGCCCAGGTCAGGGCTGCCGCGGCAGCCCCCGACTTCGGCTACGGCTGCGGACACGGGTTCGCCGTGGGCATTCCTACCTGCCCCGGGCCCCCTGTCGATCGGCAGTTCGAGGTCTCCTCGAGTGCTGGTCGCCTCCCTGGCCTCAGCGATTGGCCTACTGAGGCTACTGCTGCGAGGCGCTGTCGGGCTGGGTGGGCCGAGGGGGGGGGCCGTCCACGTCCATTGGGGAGAAGTCCTCCTGCCCTGAGGGTTCTGCTGGGTCGCCGAGTGGACGCGGTGCTTCTGCCGTGGCGTGATGGCTCAGGATCGCCGCGCCAGGTGAACTGAGCGGCGGTTCTGCATATGTCCATCGGGGCTGCGGGTTCGTCAACGTCACCACGGTCCGGTCCAGGGTGCGGTCTCGTGGCGGGGTCGGAGTTCCCGTTGTGGGGATAAGCGTCACGTCTTCCTTTGTCGCCCGCCAGATGGTCGTCTGTCGTCGTCGCTGGGCGTCGAGGTGGTCCGCGCTCAAGGCGGTCGTCGGGGAAGGGGTCGGGGCTCGAGACTCGAGACACCGCGGCTTGCATCTGGCCTAACGGGCCCAATTTCACTTTGGAAGTTCGATAATATCGAAACCACGTTCCCTTCTGGCCTAACGGGCCCCATTTTAGCCGTGGCAGGATCCTCCGGATGGTCGTCTGTCGTCGTCACGGGGCGTTGAGGTGGTCCGCGTTCAGGGCGGTCGTCGGGGAAGGGGCTGGGGCTCGAGACGCCACGACTTGCATCAGGCCTAACGGGCCCCATTTCACTTTGGAGATTCGCTAATATCGAAACCACGTTCCCTTCCGGCCTAGCGGGCCTCAGTTCAACAGTGGCAGGATCCTCCGGATCGATGGCCGTCTGTCGCCCTGGTCACCACGGCTGGATCCGCTTCGAAATTCTGAATTCCTGGTCCCGTGACGGGAGAGGTAAAAGGAGGAGGAGGGACGCTTTCCAAGTCCTGGAAGAGCATGCCGGTGACCGTCATGATGGCCAGACGAAAGTTGGCGATCTCAGCCGCCAGTTTCGACCGCTTCGCTGCGGCGTCGCTGGGCGTCAGCATCTTCCAGTCGAAGTCGCCCGCCGAGGCGTTGGCGCCAGCAGACTGGTCCTCAAACATGAGCTCGCAGAGCGCACATTAGGCCGCGACTCGCCCCAAGCCTGCCGCAGGGACTTCGGAGATGGCGCTGAGGTCGTTCAGGATCCCCTTGAAGGCGAGGCCCTTGGACGATGACAGGACCCCCAGCAGATTGCCAGTGATCTCCGGGTTGGTGGGGCCCATAGTCGCCACCATGCTCGCGAGGCCGTGCTTCAGCTCTATCTGGTGCCGGCGGGCAGAATTGTCCATGCTGCCATCCGCTGCGAACCCAGCGGGGTCCCAGAAATCCACGGGGTCCTGCGCGCGCAGCATGCTGGTGACCGTCTCCTGCACGTCGTCCTGCTGCTGCTGCGCCCGCTGCAGCGGCACGGACCGCCCCGCCTTCCAAATCTTGGAAGAGCATGCCGATGACCGCCATGATGGCCAGACGAAAGTTGGCGATCTCATCCGCCAGTTTCGACCGCCTCACTGCGGCGTCGCTGGACGTCAGCACCTTCCAGTCGGAGTCGCCCGCCGAGGCATCGGTGCCAGCAGACTGGTCCTGGAACAGCTCGCATAGCGTACAGTAGGCCGCGACTCGACCCAAGCTTGCCGCAGGGACTTTGGAGATGGCGCTGAGGTCGTTCAGGATGTCCTTGAAGGCGAGGCCCTTGGACGGCGCCAGGAACCCCGGCAGCTTGCCAGTGATCTCCGGGGTGATGGACCCCATAGTCGCCACCATGCTCACGAGGCCGTGCTTCAGCTCTGTCTGGTGCTGGCGGGCGAAATTGTCCATGCTGCCATCCGCTGCGAACCCAGCGGGATCCCGAAAATCCACGGGGTCCTGCGCGCACAGCATGCTCTTGACCGTCTCCTGAACGAACATGCCGATGATCGCAATCGTGATCGAGGGAACGATGGCGATCTCAGCCTCCAACTTCGACCGCTTGGCTGCGGCGCCGCTGGACGTCAGAACCTTCCAGCCGAAGTCGCCCGCCGTGGCATCGGCGCCAGCAGACTGGTCCTGGAACAGCTCGCAGAACGCGCAATAAGCCACGATTTGTTCCCAGCCCGTCGCGGGAATCTTGGAGAGGGCGCCGAGGCCGTTCAGGACGTCCTCGTCCGCGAGGCCCTTGGACGGCGACGGGAACCCCGGCAGCTTGCCGGTGATCGCAGGGGTGATGTAGCCCATATTCGCCAGCATGCTCACAATGCCGCGCTTCGGTTCCATCTGGCGTCGGCGGGCGAAATCCTCCGTGCTGCCATCCGATGCGAAACCAGCGGGATCCCAGGAACCCACAGAGTCTTGCGCGCCCAACTCGCTTTCGACCGCGTCCCCCACGCCGCCCTCGTCCTGGAGGAACGAGCCATGCGCGGCCGGCGCCGCGGTCGCCGCGCGGCCGGCCGCGGCAGGCGCCGCCGCGGCCGGGGCGCCGCTGCCGGCAGCCCTGGCGGCGAGGCCGGCGGCGCGGGCCAGGGCCGCCACGGCCACCCAGAGGCCCGCGGCGGCCGCGGCCTCGCCGGCGGCGGCGACGCAGGCGGCCGCCGCGGCGGCCGAGGGGCAGCGGCGGCCGCGGCCAGGGGCGCCCCGGCAGCGGCGGCCGCCGAGGCGGCGGCGCCGGCCGCGCCGCCAGCAGCACCAGCAGCGGCAGCAGCGCCGCCCGCGCCAGGCGCCGCGCCGGCAGCTGGGGGGCCGCCTGTCGCCGCGCGGCGCCGCCCCCGGGACTGGCGCCGCGGGTTGCCGCGGCGGCCGCGCAAGCCGGCTCAGCCATCTTGAGCCAGAGCGGCTTGAGCCAAAGGCTTGAGCCAGAGGGCTACGGAAGAGTGCTGGATACACACGTGGCCACATATCTTTCCAGCACTCGGCCCTCGTTTGGCCAAGCACGGCGGTCCCCCACACGTGTATCCCGCTCATGGCCTCTGGATGGTCCACATCTGAATCCAGCCCTGTGCTTCCAGCCTCCTGGCACTGTGCGGAAACATCTCTCTCTGTCCTCGATCCTCGACCTTTCGGCACCGAGGCGCCACCGCCCCGCCCCTCGCAGGGCCGTCCCGCGTGCCGTGGGGGCGCAGTGCTCAGTGCTCAGTGGTCCTCGATCCTCGAGGCGGGCCGCCGTCGCTGTCCGCCTCCAGCCGAAGCGGCTCGAACGAAGGGGCTCCCGGCGCTCCCCCCCCCGCAGCCCCCCGGCCGGGGCGCCGGCCTCCGAAGCGTCTGGGCGGTTGTCAAGAGCCCAGGCGCAGGCCGTCGCCGCCGCCGCCGTCGTCGCAGGCGCCGCCGCCGCCGTCGTCTCCGCCGTCGTCGTCGTCGCCGTCGTTGTCGTCGTCGTGGGGATGATGATGATGATGATGATGATGATGATGATGATGATGATGATGATGATGATGATGATGATGATGATGATGATGATGATGATGATGATGATGCTGATGCTGATGCTGATGCTGATGCTGATGCTGACTGACGCTGATGCTGATGCTGATGCTGATGCTGATGCTGATGCTGATGCTGATGCTGATGCTGATGCTGATGATGATGATGATGATGATGATGATGTTGATGGTGGTGCTGATCGTGGTGATGATGATGCTGATGATGATGCTGATGATGCTGATGATGATGCTGATGATGCTGATGCTAATGACGATGCTGATGCTGATGATGATGCTGATGCTGATGCTGATGCTGATGATGAGGATGAGGATGATGATGATGGTGGTGGTGGTGATGGTGATGGTGATGCTGATTGTGGTGATGATAATGATGTATGATGATGAGTATAAGGATACTCATGATGATGAATAGGATGAGGGATGAGGAAAAGGATGAGGATGAGGATGATGACGACGATGATGCTGATGGTGATTCTGCTGGTGATGATGATGGTGATGCTGTTGATGATGGGGATGATGCTGATCATGACGATGCTGATGACGAAGAAGAAGAGGAGGAGGCATGAGGGTCGAGGATGAGGATGCTGATGAGGAGGAGCAGAAGGAGAAGGATAATGGGAATGATGATGATGCTGGTGAGGATGAGGATGATGATGCTGATGATGATGATGCTGATGATGAGGATGATGATGATGATGAGGATGAGGATGATGAGGATGATGCTATTGATGATGGTGATGAGGATTCTGCTGATGATGGTACTGATGCTGATGATGCTGATGGTGATGCTGATGGTGATGCTGATGCTGATGCTGTTGCTGCTGCTGCTGCTGATGATGATGATGCTGCTGCTGCTGATGATGATGATGATGATGATGATGATGGTGATGATGTGATGCTGATGATGCTGATGCTGATGCTGCTGCTGATGATGATCATGCTGCTGCTGATGATGGTGACGATGAGGAAGAGGATGATGATGATGATGATGATGATGATGATGATGATGATGATGATGATGAGGAGGAGGAGGAGGAGGAGGAGGAGGAGGAGGAGGAAGACGGCGGGGACGACACGAGGTGGAGCAATGAGAGGACAAGGAGGGAAGAAGGGAGGAGGAGGCGGAAGGAACAGCAAGCACGATGGAGGAATGCGGGAGGAGGGATGTAATGGACTCCCAATGACCAGAAACGCCGACAGAGCCCCATCCCAGGAGAACAGGGGGAACGAGAGGGGAGCAAAGTAGGCCTGTCCGCGCACGGGGTTGTTCCCGAGGCGCGTGCTGCCGCTGGCTGGTCTTTCCCTTCCCACTCCCCCCCCCTCATCCTCAGCGGCACGGTGCGCCGTTGCGGCGGCTGGCGGCGGGCCCCGCATTTCGGGCCTCGAAGGTCCTCGAACTCCTCGCCTGAGATCTGGTTGACGATGCGGTGGCGCCCCCCAGTGTCGGTGGGTGGTGGTGGTGGAGGTGGTCGTGAAGAGGTTGCCAGGTCGGTTGCGAGGTGGGCCGGGGGAGGAGGGGGGGTAGTCGCAGTCGCATGGATGCGTCATAAGTGGCGATCCAGGAGTGGACCCGGTCCGTGACACGGGCAGGCTGCCCGTGCAGCGGAGGGGGGCCGCCATAGCGGTGGCAGCGAAATGGGGGACTGCCATAGTGGCACAGTGGCGGCAGCGGAGTGAGGTTATGGCCTCATTGGGATGTGGTCGGTGGGTTTGGCCACCGTTGTTCGTGTCGTAGTCGTAGGGGGAGCGTCGAGGGGAAGGGTGGGCGTCGTGAGGGGAGGGGTCGTAGGGCAGGGAGGGGGATGATCATCTCCAGTGGCGCTGCCGCTGTCTCTGTCGCTAGGCAGCAAGAAGTGTATCAGGAGCGTCGGGGTCGTCCGAGCTCGCGTGCTCGTCGTCTTCGTATCATCTGAAGGGACGGCGCCGACTTCGTAGTAGTGGCCGTAGGGGCTGTCGGCGAGGCCGTCACGGGGGCTGTCGGCGAGGCCCTCGCGGGGGCCGTCGCGGGGGCCGTCTTGGGGGCTGTCGTGGGGTGGTGGCAGTGGCCGTCCTCGTGCACACCTTGGCGGTCGCCGGCGTCGGCGTCGCAGGGGGGAGAGGCTTCGTCGTGGTCGTCGTCGCCGTCGTGGCGGGCGTTGTTTTCGTCGCCGTTAGGGTTGGGCCGTCGTGGGGGCCGTCACCGTCGCTGGTGGCCGTCGCGGGTTTGTCACGGGGGCCGTCGTTGGCGCCGTCGTGGGGGCCCGTCGTCGGGGTCGTCGCTGAGAGGCCGTCGTGGTGGCCGTCGTGGGGGCCGTGGGGGCCGTCGCTGGTGGCCGTCGTGGGAGGCCGTCGTAGTGGTGGGTCGTGGGAACCCTCGGGTTTGGTGGGGGGTCGCGTGACCGTCGCTGGGGGCTCGGGTGTGGGGTCTCACGGAGTGGCCTCGGCTGTCCCTATGATGACCGCTTCCCTGGCTATGCCTCCGCGGGCTCCGGCTCCCTCTCAGTGCATGCGGCCACTCGGATTTCGGGGCCCGCCGAGAGGCAGACGGCGCCGGCCAGGGTCTGGCCAACGGCTTTTCATGGCCGCTTCCCTGGGTATGACCCCCGCGGGCTCCCTCTCAGGGCATGCGGCCAATTGGGGCGTGGCCGTCGTGGGGGCCGTTGGGCGGAGAATCGTGGGCAGAGGGGTCGTGGGGGCCGTCGGATTGGGTAGTGGGTCGAGTGGACCGTCGGGCGCGGGTGCGTGGGGCAGGGAGTCGTGGCGCAGCAGGCGGAGTAATTGCAAGCTGGGGTGACGGGGGGCAGCGGGAGAGCCCCGTTGTCGCCGTGGTTGGCGCGGGCGTCGGTGGCGCAGCAGCCGGGTGGCCCGACCCCCGCGAAGTCGCGGTGGGAAGAGCCGTGGTTGCCATGCTCGATCGTTGTAGGGACTCGGACGACAACATGCTTGTATGTCGCGGCGGTCGTACCCTCTGTGACGCAAATCTTGGCCTGGGCGTGGCGACGGCGGAGGTGGCCGTGGCGACCAGCAGACGGACGTCGCATGTCCTGGGCGCTGTGCTGGTGCGCGCAGCATGCAGTGGAAGCACATGCCAAGAGACACCCTGCTTGCCTCCATGGTGCCCTGGGTTTGTTTGGGTTTCGATAGTCTTGTGGAAGACGTGATGTTCCCATACCAAAACTCAATGTACATCCTGGGGTCTGAGGGTTGGGTTTCTTGTGGAGGGTTTCTTGTGGTCGAGCTCCTACTGTACCCAATCCGGTGAGCAGCGGACCGGATGGGCCTCGGCAGCCGCCCTGGTCGGGCCCTGCCGCATGTTGGCGTGCTTGGTCGCGGGCACCTCGTTCGTCATGGCGTTGCAGGCGTCCCGCTTGGCAGCCGCCCGCTGCGGAACCCCCGCCCTTGTGACGGGGGCCAGGCCTGGGTCCCCGCCCCCAGGGCAACGGCTCCCCCTTGAGCCAAAGTGGCTTAAGGACCCCTCCTCCTCATCCTCCTCCTCCTTCGTCTCCTCCTCCTCCTCCTCCTCCTCCTCCTCAGAAATGAAAGCAGCAGAGTGCCTTTGCCCTGGCTGCTGTTTGAAACAGCGCGTAGCGCTGTTCGAACCTTGGGAAGCCTCCGGGCCGCAGGAGGCCTGGGCGCGAAGCGGGGAAAGGGCCAGTGGACCACAGGACCGGACCGGAGCTAATTAGATCGGCTGTCAGCACCCAGGGAACCACCACCACCAGGAAGGGGAGGGAGGTCGTCAGACTCGTCGAAGCTCGTCCCGACGCCCGCCAGGCCGCCGCCCGCCGGAGGGAAAGGGGAGGGAAGGGGGGGAGGACCCAGGTTGGCCCCAGACGGAGAGAGCGCGTCCCCGAAAGCCCAACCGCCGAGGCCAGTGAGCGCCTGCATGATGGCGATGCCCAGGCGGCACGCCATCACCTGCAACTGAGCCCAAGCTGAATCGAGCCCCCAGCAGCCTTAGTGATCCACCCCGTTTTCGCAGTGACGCGGGGCTGGGCCCCCCACCAGGCCGGCGTGACCCGCAGATTCTCGCCGAGTTCGAGCCGACGTCCAACAAAACGCGGGCATTCGGCCCAGAAGTGCCAAGCCGAAGCCTGGGTGTGCCCGCAACCGAACGGGCAAACGCACGCGCCGCCGTGCCTGTGGGTCGGCGTGCACACGGCCCTGCCCCTCCAGACGGCGAGGAGGGTCGCGTCGTATCGGCCCAGCGATCGCCGGAACTGGGCCCACGGCGGCGCGCTCTGGGCAGGCAAATCGATATCCCCGATCCCCCCTTCGTCGTGCCGCGGCGGGGGCCCCGGGGGCGAAGGACGAAGGAACGCCGTCCGGGCGCACTCCCAGAGAACGTGCTTACCGCGATCGGATGAGGCGTCGACAGCCCTCCGGGGGGGCGGGGGCTGTCAGCGGCGGCAGCAGCGCCGACCGCCGCCGCGGCGCGGGGGTCGAACCCCAGGGTCGGCAGCAGCCAGACGCCGTCGGGAGCGACCCACTCGCAACCGGCAGAGCTCTTCCGTCTGCCCCTCCTCCTCTTCCTCCTCGTCCTCCTCCTCCTCCGTTTCCCTACCCTTCCTCTTCCTCTTCTTCCCCGTTATCCTCCTCCTCCTCCTCCTCCTCCTCCTCTTCCTCCTCCTCCCCCTTCCGTAGCCAATGTGGCTCAGGCTAAACGACGTTGTGAAAACTTATAAACGTTTGAGAACTAGCGATTTGTTTCGGTGCCCATCCGTTGCTCTTGCCAAGCAGTTCGGACTCCACCAGCAAAGGGCTGGCACCCAAGCGTAATTACTTCAACCACTCCGCTTGATCCTCGATTATCAGTCATGCCTGCTGCCAGTCCAGCAACCTTCGTGCGACTAGAAGTCCTTCCCGCGGTTTCTCGCGAGGTACCGCTTTGATACCCCGACCGGCGAGCGTCACATGTCAATGCACCGTTCCCGTGGTGGTTTGATGATGGTTCCCCTCGCTCTGGCCGCAGTCGCAGTGGACCCTGCAGCGTCAACACCATGGCCATCAGTGGTTCGAATGTTCCAGGGTCACTCCGGGCCCCGACGTGGATGGCCGACCTCATCAGCGACATCCGCTCCACCAGCTCCAGCATCGCCGCCCTCGAGCTGCACATGGCCCGGGAAATCCACCGCGTTAGAAGCGCCATGCAGGCAACGGACCAGAACGTGCAGAACCTCAGCTCCAGGCTCGTCGCCATCGCGACCAACAGGGACGACGCTGTTCAGTCCGCCGTCACTGCCGCCCTCGACGAGAGGATGGAGACTATCAGCTCAGAGCTCTCACAATTACGTTCCCTTCAGCTACCTCGACGGCGGCTATCTCATCCAGCGGTTCCTCTTTTCGCGTTCCAGCTGCGCCTGGCCCCCATGATCGTGGCAGTGGTAGTGGCACCTTTTCCCAAATCGTTGACCAGATCCCAGAGGCCGGCGCACTGGAACTCAATCGACAATTTTTTGCCTGTTGAACCTTCCAGCAGCGTGCTGCCGCAGTTCGGCGGAGTCGCCGAGTCATTTCTCCTCATCGTGCTGTCCGAGACCGCCGCCCGCGACTTCGCGGACACGCACAGGGCCCACGCGCTTCGTTGGGCAGATCTTCGGTCAGGTGAACACTGTGAGGTACATGTTCGCCAGTATCTCCGCTTTGATGTGAGAGCCAAGCAGCGTGCAGCAAGCAGGATATGTTCAGGCACTCTCTAGCTGTTGCGCCGCGACCGCTCTACCGTAGGATGCAAGTTGGGAGCGGGCGGCTTCCGAGGCATCATCCATCTCACGAGTGACACAGAGGTTTGGGAACTATTGGGGGCCAAGGGCTCGGATACCACTGGGTTCACTTTCGAGCCAGTGCGCTCCAGTTGGGCATCCTGGGGCACCAGTAAGACCAAGGTAGAAGCTCTCGTCTCCCGTGCGACGACGGCTGCTGCCAGGCGCCAGATGCAGCTCGGCGAAAACAACAGGCGATAGGTGCAACAGCCACTTGCTGCAACGCTTCTTCCCGCCCAGAATGCAGTTGCACTCGTTTGCTTCCGCGGTCTTCCTTTGTGCCCCTGTGAGGACCACCGGTCGTCCTGTGATTCAGGTAGTTCGGCCCCCTCCTCCTCCTCCGCCTCCGCTGACAGCTCCTCGAGTAGCTCAGATGGTAGATCGCATTTCGCTGAGTGGCCTCCCTCCACTCTTTTCCTGCTGTTCAAAACGGGCCTCGAGGTGGCCGCCTGGAACATCCAGACCCTGTTTGGGAGTATCTGGGGAGACCGCTCGCAGCGGAAGCTGACGTTCAGCGCCGTAGAGTATCGGATGCAGAGACATGGTCTTGCCTGCCCTAGGAGACTCGCGGCGCCCATGAGGACCTTGCCCAGTTGCGTCGCTTCTGAGGGCAGTGCTGCGCAGGCGAAAGCGTCGTTCTCTTGGGGCCGAGCCTTTGCAACATCTTCCCGCGCGGGCGCTGGGCCAGCTTCCTGACTGGTCGACGCGGTGAGCTGATGCTTCGTGGCCCGCAAGGCGCGCGAACCATTATCAACCTTCATCAGGGCCCGCCTCGGCCCCGGCTGCCTTAGAACAACGCAAGCTTTTAAGGGTCATGGGCCGCTTTGCGGACGCCGATCAGGTAATTTTGATCTTTGGGGATCACCTTAACTTTGGGGAAGTTGGCGAGGGACGCGTTCGCCTTGCAGACTTGTCTGCGGAGTTCGGGCCCGGCCATCTTGGTCGATGTCTTCGAATTCCTTTCCCCCGGCTTCATTGAGGGGCCCCAAACGCGATCTTATTCATAAAAGAACCACGGGGGGAGGGTCGTCTCCATCGGGCGCATCGACCGCCTGTGCCGTGCTATCTGTGGACTATTAGATCTCCTTCCGATTTCTGGAACGACCTGGAACATCGCCCGAGAGTGCATCCCGAGCGACTGCGCAGCAGTTTTGCCTCCCCCCATGCACGGCTTGCCTCGGATTGGCCATCCATTCCTCGGCGGGTCACTCGGCGCTCTATGTTCAGCCCCGGTCTCTTCCAGCTCTGCGAAGAGACCGACTTCTCCGGGTCTGCCCCTGTTCGGTTTCAGGAGAACAACGACCCGATTTATGAAACGGCTTCCCGAGTTAAGCGCGCTGCGGAGGTCCTTGGCCCGAGCGGCCCCGAGGAGGGGTCCGCCGGTGTTTGGATAGGGGTTTGGGCGTTGTTCTCAAGGCCCCGCAGGCCTTCCCTTGCGAGGTCTACGACAGGGATGCGTTTCAGCGGAGCGACCTCCCTGGTTTCTGCAAGAAGTCTGCAGGCATCATGGAAGCGCGCCAAGAAGAGGAGCGCGCTTTTCGGATGGAGTCTGGTCTGTCCGCGCGCATGCCAGACGTCGAAATCAATTGTCTGCGAGAGTTGTCTGCTGCGTGGGCCCCCGATGCCGCCGCCTGTTTTTAGGGGCCGCGATCGGCGATGCAGGCGTTGCCAATCACTGCCAACAGGTGTC